TTTTTGGGGTTTTTTTGTTGTTCTCCCGCCCTGGCGGGGGGTCGGGCTAGAAGATCTACTAGGTCCCTTCCGACCCTTAATCTATGAATCTATGTACAGTATTAAGTGTCCCATGTGACAAGGGCCTTTTACACTCTTAGCTGACAGGTTAATCTACACTACAAAGCGAGAGCCTATAAGCATAAAGATTCAGTTACCCACATGCAAGTATTTTCATCTGCATTGTTAGATCTGCAAGCTTTCCTATAGAATTTCCTTTAAAGGCAATTGCCAAATCTTCTGATTAAACATACTGTAAACGCTGGATCACCAGTACCCAATGCATGTGAACCCTCCCTGTCCAAAAGGTTATGTTAACAAGCTCTAAAGAGTTAGCAGAAACTAACAGCAGAAAAGAGCTAGCAAAATTATTTATGAAGGTGGTTTGGGAGGCTTCTGTTAATAGGCAGAGAAACCTAGATGTTTCACAGTTTTCATATTTACTTTGTGCTTATAATAGTAAATGGGCTTTATATAGTTCTTATGTTTGCGCAGTCTTTCCACACAGCAACGAGGGAGGACAATACTAAGCAGAAGGATGCAACAGGAGACCAAGGAGGCAGCACTTAAAGCTGTTTTTAAAGAAACTGTCTGTATTTTAAGATAGTGCCCCTTCAACAGGTTGTAGGCTCGACTTTATAGATGCCTGTACACCAGGCCCAGTGTTCCCTATGTTTTAAATTGAACTTTTAGAAAAGTAGTTTGCTACCATTTCTCAACTGAGACTTGACACAGTAGCACCGAATACATTTAGCAGCCAACTGGAAGAGAAGAGGAAAGGATAATACATACTGAAGTAATTTAGTTATAGCACTTTAAACTGAATATGTAAGTTATTTGTTTAGAAATAAAGGGGTTTAGTGCACTGAACCCAGAAGCACAAGCTAGCATGATGTGTGAAAAGAGGAAGCCCTTAAATAGCTGTCAATAGACAAGAGGTGTGCTGCTTTTTCACACAGATTATGCCTATCAGTTATTTCAGAATGTTTAACAGTTAGTTTTCAAGGCTGGTGTTTATGACATTGCACCAAGTGTGTCAATACATTCACTTCCTGAAGAACCATGACAGATTTTACTTCCCTCCTGCACTTGCTTTGAGAATTATCTGTAGCTCATTTTATTAGGCTTGTCACCGTTAGCAGGATTCAGTTGATTAGTTCAACTGCTATAATTTTAAATGAATGTTTGGGTAGCTGCACTACCTTTCACCTATAGGTCAAAGTGATCCTGGCTTCAAGTACAATTTATTGCTGTTGTGAGGAAACTGCCAGGAGCAGTGAAGTTTGCCCCTTTCCCTTTACTGTACTAGTCAAGCTGTACTTACAAGTCTCCCCTAAAAACAGATCAGCATTTTATCTTTGCACACATTGACTGCCCCAACAAGCTTTTCATAGACTTAACCTCACAGCTTGGCCTAATCCCTCTGAAAGCCTGAGGTGACACACTGAGGCATCTAGCCAAGTTTAAAACTGTGAAGTGCACACAGCAACGGGTTTGCACCTTTTCTCCTCCTCGACAAGGGAAGGTGACCTATGGTTTTTATTCGTTTACTCATTTGTACATGTGAAGAAAACAAGAAAACCTCTGAATTGCCTTCTTCCTGAGCAAGCAGAAAGGCTAGGGAAGAATGGAGCATCAGTAGGACACAATATCACAAACACGAAGTAAAATCTGCAGCCAAGGAGGTACATGTGTAAAAAACAACAAGAGAGTCAGACTCAAGTTTCCACTCTATACCTTGTTATCTCAGTTTCCTCTTAACAACTGGAGAACATAAGAACGGACATTTACTAGGTCAGACCACAAGTCCATCTTGGCCATCATCCTGCCTCACGCACACACCTCACTCCCATCCATTTTCTTTAGTGGTGCCTTGTAATAGCCTGATGCACACCCTGTGACCAAGATTAAAGGGGGCTTTCAACTTCACCTGGTGGGCATTGGCTCATGTCCCCACTGCACATCAAACAGGTCTGTGTCGCACAGTAGCAGAGTGGATGCTGAAAGAGAAGTGAACTGGGTATGACCAGGATTTCCCCCCCCCAGCCCCGCCCAATTCTGTTTCTCTGTCACATGCAGCCTCCAGCACTTAAGATCTGGGAAGTTCTGATTCAGAGGCTGTATCCCTCACTCCCATGCTCAATAGCTACCCTTTCCTCCAAGGATTTCTCTAAACCCTTTCTAGCTATGCTGCCAGCTGTCCAATCTGGCTACGCTGCCAGCTTTCATCACATCTGGGGATGATGAGTCTCACCCTGCCTGTAATACAAGGGTGGAAGACAACTTCCTTTTGTGAGTTTTTCCAACTTGCTTGAAAGATCTCAGCCATTTTCACCCCTCTGAGGAATCAGCCAACAGCACCAAGAAGCATCTTCTCCTACAGGTCACAACTCTCCACCAAGCTGCTACACAGGCACCGGGAAGCCGGGCTGGAAAGGATCTCCAGAAGTCTTCTACTCCAGTGGCTCTCAACCTTTTTGTACCAGGACTCAAATGTCAATTTTGAGTTACTTTTTATCATCTGAAAATTGGGAGTTTTTTTTAAATCAGAGAAAACCAGGATCCCTAACGATAGCCATGCCCACCCCAGCAGCTCTTGCCACCCTCACTTTGCTAGTCTGGAGCAGGGTGGATTTGATTTAAATCAAATTGATTTAAATGTCTGAAATCACGATTTAAATCACCAGTCAAAAAGCCTCAATTTAATCACTGTTTTCTACAAAAAGTGTTTTCTTGTTGTTCAATATCCTTTATTCATTTAACTCCTTGAAACTTTGCACTTTTAGAGAGAGGTAAGGGCTTAACTGTGTACACAAACTTGCAAGACAGACAAGAGGGCTGATGGGTGGTAGTCAGGTCTGTTCTCTCATCTCCATATACCGCTATTAACAAGGATGTTCTCTCTGGAGACACGGATCCACAGCCTGAGAACTGAAACTAAGCATCACAGAGATGCTTCATGGGATCCTCTAGACTGAGCACCCAGTGGGTAGCGTGGTTTTACACAGATTCACGGAAATGTAGGGCTTCTTTAATCTTTGCTCATCTATACAGAAGCCTCTGGGAACCCCATAAGATTGAGCCCCTGAAATAATTCATGGCCTGTTGGGACCTACACATAAAACTTTTCTAAAAAGGTTACCTGGATATATGGTCTCAACCAGTAGATAATTAGAAGTTATCATCCCAATTCCATGACAGGGCTGCCAACTCTGGCTGAAGCTATTCCCAGAGACGTTTCCCCACCGCCCCCAGCATGATATAACGTCATTAATTGTACCACTCAACCCATTCACAATATCAGTCTCCCAGGTTGCTTTCAATAGTCACTGGGAGATCAATGGCTGGGAGCATACCAGAGTTGGCAACCCGGGAGGGTTGGCAACCCTTATCCCATGATGATATCTTCGAGCTTTAACACATGTTAAATTAAAGCTATCTTTATATAAGCTTTTTTTAAAAGCATGTTAACAAAAAAAAAAGTTACAAATAAAATAAATCTGATAAAAAAAAAAAATCAGAATTTTAATTTTATTTTTAAAATCGTTGGATTTGGGTGCAACCTGGTCTGGAGTCACACTTCGGGCACTCCCCACCGGGGAAGAGTCCCCAACTCACGGGGAAGGGGGGGGCAAGCTCCCCATGCCAGGAGGGCGCCTCCAGCCTGCCCCTGACAGGAAGGTCACGGTCCCACGAGGGAGGGGCAGGGGGTTGTGACGCCACCTTCCAATCGCCCCCCTTGAGCCACCTAACGGTTGACACGAGCGCGCGGGGAGCCCACGGGGTGGGGGGTGACGTCAGCGCCCAACCGCCGCCCGGTGACCGCGCTGCCCAACGGCTACCACTAGCGCTCCCGCGGCAGGGGGCAGGGGCGAGGCGGGGCGGGACATACCTGGGGGCGCTGGTCCCAGCTGTACCGCGGCTGCGTGTCCTCGCTCCCCACCCCCGCGGGCAATGGCGCCTTGCCCGGCTTCCGCCGCTTAGAGAAGAAACAGCCCATCGTGCCGCCGCCACCGCCGCGCCCTGACTTCACGTAGCTGTTCCAGCGGCCGCTTCCGGCTTTGGGCGCACACCCTCCCCATCTCCCTTGGAGACCGAGGTCCCGCCCCCCGCTCCCAGCGTTGGCCAATGGGCACACGGCGTCCCCAAGCCCTGCTCACCAAACAGCTTTGCGCCACCGGG